TACGATTCAAAAGCAGCTGCTAACGTCACAGAGGGTTGTTCCACTTTGCTTACCATTTCCCCTTTCTGCCTTTGAAGCAGGAGCACGTGCTTCCCATGCTGCTTCTCACGGTATGTGGTGCCCCCATACCTCCCACCCTTGCCATCTTCACAGCCTCCCGGAGTCGTTAACGCACAGGTCGCTAGCTGCTGCGGTGGGGCGTGCAGGCAGCGCCCGCCGGCGTCCCGCGCCCAGCCTGCAGGCAGCCTCGCGCCACGGTTCCTGAGGCACCTCCGCTCCTTGCCTCTCCCTGTGTGCAGGGGGAAAGAAAACGCCAGGTAGATTTGGGGCGTTGGGTGGGGCGTTGACTCACTCTCCCCTTATTCCTGATCAGCTTGTCTGTATGGATGGCTGATTTCTCTGACGGAGCCAGGGGATTGCCAAGCAGTCTGTCTCCTGCGCTGCTTGAATCCTAAGCAGACAGCTGACGTGAAGGAAGACCGTCGAAAGAGGCCTATCTGCCGCCAGGCAGAGCTGACTTCCAGCGGTTTGAGGGTAATCCCTTGGGAACGACCTGATGGTCAGTCCCAGCTTGGCTCTTCGGAGCCGGACTGTCTTCGAGGTGCTTGTGTGGTGGGCCTGGGGTTTTACTTGGCTCTGTGCAGTGGAAGGCGCTGGGGACGATTCCTCTGGTTTCCCGCTCTCCCTGGGCCCTTTGTCATGCCCCCGTCCCCTCGTTAGGCCCAGCGTTAGGGATCCGACAGGGTGACCAACACATGTAGCACTGGAGCGGAGTTGTATTGCTAATTCAGCCAAAAGGCTTCTCTGCTGACCTTATTCAATACTGCATACAGCAGAGCTCTTACCTACAGTAGGTCTGTTTCGTTAACAGATTAAATCCTTGAGTAGTGTTTAATAGCATGTTGAGCTTCAGGTAGCGATTTCCATCACAAGTTCATGTTTTAAATGGTCAAATATAGTTGCGGCTCGTTGTGAATTGGTTGCCATCTGTAATGAGACTCCAGGCGTCGATTCATGTTGTGTGCTGGTAGCTCGCTAGTGGTGCCTTCCCTCTGAGATGGCTCCAGGCAAGCCATGACAGGGAGCCTTAGTGTATTTACAGCTGGCTAAATTGCTCATATTCATGACTACTTGGTGCTTGAAAAACTTCACGCTCTCACAGTGAATAGGAAGCATCTTCAGGGAGACAAAAAAACGAGCCTTGCTTCATCTGTTGGAAAAGTTAATTTTTAGCCGCTACTGCAGGATGAAGCACACAAGGTGGTTCTGTTCCCGATGTGGCTGCGTTCATGACTCTGCAGAGAGTGTTAGAGCCTTTGTGGCTATCTGGTGGGACAAGAGAAAAGGCTCTAATCTGATCAGTTCAAATAATAATTCAACTCTCAGTTGTGTTCAGGTGCAACTTTGGAGAGGTTTTAACAGCAGCAGAGAGTTGCTGCAGCAAGGAAGGTCTGCATGCTGCCTTATTGGAGCAGTTGGGAGGCTAGGAGATCTGAAAATACGAGAAGAATGAACTCAACTTTACTCATTCAGCTGCTGGAGGGACTGGGAGGATTTCACTTGAGAAACCCTACAGTTTAGAGGCTAATATGGAAGATGGAAATACAGTGTCCAGTATGGCTGGGGAGATAAGGATATTGCCTTAATTTAAGTCTGTCTGCTTCTTAATCTAGAGGTTCCATTTCCTGGCACTGAAGTCAATTAAAATTTGCAAGTCTTGTGTTTGTGTAGTTGAAAGAGGGGCTAAGTCAAACATGTTGCTTCTGAATGGCGGACAGAAAATAAAGGGCAGGGAGGTGGTGGGATGCATGCAAAGATGCAGGCAAAGGTATGAAGGGTAAGGGAGTAAAAAAGCAAACCGAAGACTGTGCTGAGCGGTTATGAGCTGCTTTGAGGAACTGAAATTAAAAGCTTCAGCAGAACCAGAAGGGCGAAGGGGGCTGCAAAAGCTGTAGAGACACAGTAAGACTTGTGTCAGCAGTCTGTATCTTATTTAGCAGTGACACCTTGCGTGGTTGTGTTTGGCTACCTTACTGCACTTAGCAAACCTAACAGCGAATGAAGACTGGGGAAATTTAGCAGGTACCTGAAACCAAATATTTTTTGCTTCTGTTTTGACATTGGAACTTCTTTTTAATAAAGCAAGCCCTTCGGCTGTGTGTTCCACTTGAAGCGCCATCAGTTATGAAATGTGATTTTAATCCAGGAAAAGGAAATCCTAATTTAAGCAATTGATAGGCTGTAATTAAACCTGGAATGGATTTTGTTCACCAAAGGTGTGCTCTGTTTTTTACGTATACTTGTCACACTCCCTATTTAAAAATGGCAAAGAGTATATTTCTTTCTGAACCGTGTATTTTGTTCTGAACGTATGTTTATTAGGGTTTTTTGACTTGTGTTTCATACCTCTTCATATAAATAAAAAATCCATTGTGTCAGTATTTTAGAATGTCACTAGTTCTTTAGAACTAACTTTAAGAAGGCAACATTCTAATTGAATAGTTTAAGAGTGATTATTGTAGCTAGAGCCTATAATGGATTGCTTGTCAGGGACTCAGGCCTAGTAGAGCTAATCCTTCCACTTCTACTGCTCAGTCACAGCTTGGAAGAGAAATGCAATTTTTCGTCTTTTTACGCTAGTGGTCACTTTCTCTGTTTTGAATCAATTGGCTCTTGAACTGAATTAGTGGAGATCTCTCTCTACAGGTCCAGAAGCATTACTGTACAGAAGGACTGCTGTTAAAAAAATGGGCTAAGTACATCAGCTGTAGTTTGGGTTTGCAGCTGAACAGCAATCCACATGATTAAAAAAAAAATATTTAAATTTTGTTCTTGTAATGGTTGACTTGAAATCTTGGCATCGCTTGCCATAATTTTAGGTGTTATTTTAAAAAGAAAACTATTTGATTAAATATCCTGGTAGTTCAGCAGTCAGTGCACAGTCCCACTCTGAATACAGTGCGTGACAAGGGTGTGCAGCTTTTTATTCCCTGCGGAGGCTGGTAGTTATTTTTGT